CAGCTGTTGTTTCTGGTTTAAGCCTCTTGCAGTTGCATACAGTTCCTGCTTCCAGAATTTTTGCTCTGTGAGATAATGAATTCCCTTCGTGGCAAGCTGTACTCCTGTTCACCAATATCCAGAAGACTGTAGTTTCCTGCCCTCTTGAACTCAAACATGGCCTTGTGATTTGCTTTGAACAATGAAATGTGAGCAGAAGTGCTGTGTGTCCCTTCCTGGCAGAGGCTCCAAGTGCTTTATTCTCATTTCTTTCGGTTAGTTATAACCAGAAATGTTTCTCATGGCAGTTGCTCCATCATTTTAGGTTGCAACATCGCTCCCAGCTGACCTGTGATGAGCAGGCAGAGTGAGTGGGAAACACACTTTATTACTGTCAATTTTAAGCAAAAATAGGCTGGCTTGGTATAGGGAATTAGGAGCTGACAAGCTCTTTGGAAAGGCTAGTTGAGTGGGTTCTAGGCTACGACTTTGCAAATGAGTCCCAGAACATGCCTGTGAGGAAAACCTCACTCCTCCTGTGTCTCTCCTTTGCTCTCACAACTACCACACTCACAACACTTCCGACAGCAAATGTGTGGAGTTTTTCCCCCGCACCAAGCAATTCTCTGCCACACCAGCTGGGTGTCTTACACTTCAATTCAATCTGACACTAACTGGAGTTAGTGCAGAGCCCACAGGTTAAAGGCTCAGTCCCATAAGACTGCACCCCACCACTTAGATGACAATTGCCACTAAGTCCCCAGGTTACCCACAACTTCTGTCCAACTTGGCTACACATTGGAGGCTCCCATGACTCCCCCTACCTTGGATTTGACTATTTGTTGGAACAGCTCACAGAATCAGGGAAACACATTTACCAGTTTATTATATAATAATGAATATGATAAAAGATACAGATGAGCAGCGGGATGAAGAGACACATAGGGTGAAGTCAGGAAGGTCCCCGAGCACAGGGGCTTCTGTCCCCATGGAGTTTTGGTGTCACCCTCCCAGTACGTGGATGTGCCCACCAACCTAGAAGCTCCGAAAACCCCACGCTATTGGGATTTTATGGACGCTTCGTCCCATAGACACGATTGATCGCTAACTCAGTTCCCAGCCCCTCTCTCCCTGCTGGATGATGGAGGATGGGGCTGAAAGTGTTAAGCTTCTAATCATGGCCTGGTCTTTCTGGTGACCAGCCTTAATCCGGGACCCCACCAAACACTGCCTCCTTAGAACAAAAAGATGCTCCCGTCACCCAGGAAATTCGGAGGCATTGAAGAACTCTGCATCAGAGCTGGGGTCAAAGGCCAAAGAGTAGAACAAAAGGTGCTCCTGGTGCTCTTATCACTAGGAAATTACAGGGGGGTTAGGAACTAAGTGCCAGGAACTTGGAGCAAAACCCAGCATATATATTTTCTATTATTTCACAATAACCAAGCGGATCCACCCAGGGAGGCCCCATTGCGCATGGCACCTTCAGAATGCTGTTGCTCTGTCTCTGATCCATGACCAGAAAGCCTTCACCAACCAGGACATAATTGCTTTTTTGTTTTCAATTTTGTTATGTTTTGCACTGAGGCATAACTAACATGTGGTCAAGTACACAGATCTTTTTTTTTCCTTTTTACTGAATTTATTGGGGTGACGTTGATTAATAAAATGATATAGGTTTCAGGTGTACAATTCTATAATACCTCAGAAAATTAAAATTACAACTGCCTTATGACTGAGTGATTCCACTTATGGGAATATATCCTAAGAAACCCCTAATTTGAAAGAATGTATGCACCCTTATGTTCATTGCAACGTTATTTACAAACGACCCAGGTCTCAAGTGTACCCTGCAGTCAGTTCTTAACAATATATACATTCCCGTAATCTGCACCACTGTCAGGATACAGAGCATTTCAGTCCTTCAAGAACGTTTCCCTCATGCCCCTCTCAGCCAACCCCCCATCCCCACAGTAGAGGCAATATAATAGTAGAGGCAACGGTTATTCTTTTTTGTTTTAATCTGCACCCAAANCCTGCAGTCAGTTCTTAGCAATATATACATTCCCGTAATCTGCACCACTGTCAGATACAGAGCATTTCAGTCCTTCAAGAACGTGTCCCTCATGCCCCATCCCCACAGTAGAGGCAACATAATAGTAGAGGCAACGGTTATTCTTTTTTGTTTTAATCTGCACCCAAAGATATGTTTTTTATTGGTTTTTAGAGAAAGAGAAGAAGGGAGAGAGGGAGAGAGATCTATCAGTTGCCTCCGGTACACGCCCCGACTGGGGATTGAACCTGCAACCCGGGGGGCGCCCTGACCGGGAATCAAACCCACAACCTTCTGGTGCACTGGACAGCACTGCAACCAACTGAGCCACCCGGCCGGGTGAGGCAGCTCTTGTTCTGACTTCTCTCACCCTCAGTTAGTTTTGCTTATTCCAGAACGTCACACAAGTGGAATTATAGAGTCTGCGCTCTTTTGTATCTGGCTCCTCTCACTCAGAACAAAGCTCTGGAGATTCGTCCACGTGTGGTGTGCACCAGTGGTCCCCCCTTTTGATTGCTGAGCAGAATTCTATGGCACGCATGTGGCACAGTTGGTATCCACTCACCTATGCTGATGGAATTTGGGGGTTGTTTCCAGGTTTTATGCAATTATAAATATTGCTGCTACAAACTCTGTACAAGTCTTCGTGTGGACATCTGGTTTCCTTTCTCTTGGATGGATATGTACCACTTGAATTGCTGGGTCATATGTTAAGTTTACACTTACCTTTAAAAAAACTGATAGGCCCTAGCCAGTTGGCTCAGTGGTTAGTGTCAGCCCTCGGACTAAAGGTCCCAGGTTGGATTCCGGCCAAGGGCACGTACCTGGGTTGCAGGTTCGATCCCTGGCCCTGGTCTTTGTTTACCTGGGGGCTTTTGGCCACCCTAAATATCTTCTAACCATGGGATTGATAGTGGGGCCTTTGGAACACAGGCACCAGGCTCAACCTTGAAAGGGGCTGGAAACTAAGGTGACCGTGTGGGTGGCCAGTGATGTCTTTGTGACTGACCTCCCATAAAAGCTCTGGATGCCAAGGCTTGCAGGAGCTCCCTGGTTGGCAGTACCTCATGCGTGTTGTCACACAGTGTTACCAGAAGGTATCACTGTCCACGGCTCCACTGGGAGAGGACAACTGGAAGCTTCGTGCTTGGAATTTTCCTGGTCTCTGCCCACGTCTCTTTTCTTGGCTAATTCTAATCTGGTTTCTTTCACTGTAATAAACTCTAACTGTGAATATAGCAGCTTTCAGTAAGTTCTGTGAGTCCTTTGAGTGAATCAGTGAACCTAAGGGTGGTCTTGGGGACAAATGCAGTTGGTGTCAGAAATGAGAGTGGTCTTGGGCCTCCCAAACTCTGCAGTGCCCTTGGACAGACAACTGATGGTCTCCTCCAACAGAGCAGACTCTGGTCTCTGGCTCAGAGCCCTCGGCCAACAACTCCATTTCCAGCTAGAATGCAATTAAGCTTTTTTCTTGTTTCCATTGGGTTTATCTTCATGGCTATCTTCTATTTATACCAAGAGTACTGGTTTTCCAAATATAATTGTAACTTTTAAAATGAAAGTATTTAAGTTAAAAAGAGTTGATCATATATATGTGTGTCTATGTGTAATAGTCGTATAACACATATATGAATGCTAATCCCCCCTGATTGGTTAGGCATTAGTTCTGATTAGCAGGTGGTGGGTGCCAATCAGAAATATTTTTAGTATCCTCCCTACGTGTATATAATATGTATATCACATAGTGTCCATCATAGATATAATATGTATATATATTATTCATAATTTATGTATATACATAATACAGAATATATATCACATATTTATAATATGTATCACATACAATATATGTGTTTTCATTAGATTTATCTTTCTGGGTATATTCTATTTATATGAAGCAGTACTGGTTTTTCCATATATGATAGTGTCTTTTAAAATAAATTTATTTAAGTTTTAAAGGGAGTTGATTTCTTAAAATAAAAGTAATAATACAGGTAGGATGAAATTGTGGCAAAAACTGAGAAGAATATATATACACATTACTTGACACACTGACATTTTCTTCTGTATCTTACTGCTTCTTCTTTTTTTTAATGCTACTCACAGCCCACTAAACTGATTTTGTAATCCAGGCTGGGGCCTGAAGCTTGTGAAATATTGTTACGCAACCACCTGTGAATAGGACCTTGTCTCTTTACTTTGGCATGATGACCCTTAAACCTGGGTAGAGGCCTCTGCCCCAAGCCCGGGGCTTCAGAGGGCCTGCTCTGCCCTAATCTGGTTGAGCCCCTCCTCACAGGCTGCAGAACCCAGGAACCTTCAGGAAGTGCCCGCTGGAGCCTCTGCTCTCCTTGACCATGCTCTGGGAACCGGGGACCCAGGAATTCCCCATCCAAACTGCTCTGAGCCCACTCCAGGGCCTGGGGGGTCTTCTTGGTGGGCACTCCCTTAAATCGAAAGGCAGCCCAATCTGTGGGTTGGGGGTGTGGATGAAGCTCGGATGTGCAGGCTGGGTGTCCACACTCATGTAAGGCCCACACTCGTGTGCATGCTGAAGGAGCCCAGTGTGAAGGAAAGGGGACCACCATGGACCCAGGACCTCCCCTGTGCTAGCGCAGTTACCAATGCTACCTCCCAATGTTAGGAGTGAGCTGACATTGGACACCAGGCTCTGTGCCAGGGGTCTCGAGTGGTCGTGGGCAGGATCCGGCACTGACCAGAACCCCTGCAGCCCTTCCCCCAATCCCTCCCACCTCACCCAAGCAGGCTTCATTCACTATATCCCTTGCCTTGGTTTTTGAGTGTGACCCCCTCACTTTAGTCCTCAGGGCGCCTGTCACCAGGCCCTACCACTTTCTTCCACCCCCAGTCATGAATGATTGGAGATCGTGAGACAAGGATTACAGTGCTTTACTTTCTTTCTGAACAGAATGGTCAACGTGGGGGCAGTGCCTGGGGAGCCGGGCAGCCTTCAGGGGGGGCAGGGTTGGGGGCTCGGGCCGTCAGCCCCTGCTCTGGCCCCATCCGTGTCTTCGGTCTCAGGCTGGGCTTTAGTGACTGCTCGGTAGGTTCTGTGAGGGGAGGGAGAAGGCGGGCATGGTGAGCCGGTGGCGGCTCAGGTGACCGGCCCCCACTTCTGATGGGCTCACCTGTTCTGATTCCGGCATAATCGGGGCAGCTGCCTACACTTGCCACCTGTGGGGAAGGAAACGATCCAGTCACGAGTTGGAACAGCACTGATCTCCGCGTGTGCTTTGGGTGCTGGAGGAAGGCCCGTCAGCTTTGCTCCTCGGGAAGCACCAAGGCAACTCGAGCGAACGATGTGAGCAGATAGAAGAGCTGGGGCAGGGCCCCGGGGAGGATCCTCCCCCCACAGGGAGGGCACTTGGGAAACCTTCCTAACTGGGTGTCACTCATTCGTTCCATAAATGTTTACTGTGCACCGACTACGTGCCAGGCACTGACTGAGGCACTGGGGACGCAGCCGGGAACGGGAATGACTAAAATCCTTGCTCCAGCAGAGCTGCCTTTCTAGCTGGGGAGACCAGCAATAAGATCAATGACCTGGCCCTGCCTGGGTGGCTCAGTTGATTGGAGCATGGTCCCATGCACTAAAAGGTGGAGGTCGGATTCCTGGTCAGGGCACGTACCTAGGTTGCGGGTTCAATCCCTGGTCTGGGCACATATGGGAGGCAACCCATTGATGTTTCTCTCTCACATCGATGTTTCTCTCTCTCTCAAATCAATTTTGAAAAACATATTCTCGCCCGGCCGGGCGTGGCTCAGCGGTTGAGCATCGACCTGGGATCCAGGCGATTGGGGTTCGATTCCCAGTCAGGGCACATGCCTGGCTTGCGGGCTCGATCCCTAGTCGGGGGCGTGCAGGAGGCAGCTGATCAATGACTCTCATCATTGATATTTCTCTCTCTCTCTCTCCCTCTCCTTTCCACTCTCTGAAATCAATAAAGACATTAAAAAAAACACACAAAAAACATATTCTCAGGTGAGGATTATAAAAATAACTAAGTCAGATGTACAGATGGTGGTAAGTCAGACGGTGGTGAGCGCTATAAAGAAAAAGCCAGGCCCGGCCACAAGTGGCTCAGCGGTTGAGATCGGCCTAGGATCCAGGAAATCGCAGTTTGATTCCCGGTCAGGGCACATGCCCAGGTTGCGGGTTCGATCCCCAGTGGGGGGGGGCATGCAGGAGGCAGTTGGTCAATGACTCTCTCATCATTGATGTTTCTCTCTCTCCCTCTCCTTTCCTCTCTCTGAAATCAATAAAGACATATTTAAAAAATAATAAGAAGAAAAAGCCAGGAAGGAGGCAGAAGACCTGGAGGTGATGAGGAAGCGACTTGGACATCTGGAGGAAGGGTATTTCACACAGAGTGAACAGTCAGTGCAAAGGCCCTGGGGTGGCAAGGCACAGGTAGGCTTAAGGAGCAGCAGGGAGGCCAGGAGGCTGGACTGCAGTGAATGAGAGATTTTACGACAAAGGCACCATCGCTCCCTCCCCAATCCCTGGCCTCTTCGGGCCTCTTTCCATAGTTATCGCCACATGCTCAGCTTATTATTGTGTCTAGGGCTCCTTCCTCTGCCTGTTTGGTTTTTAAATCATCTTTATCACCCGCAGGAATCAGTTCCAGTTTCACCTCTTTAGAGAGTCCCTCCCCCTCCCCCTCCCCCTCTCCGTCACATCTTGTGGCTTTATTTGCCTCATGGTTATTATCTTTCTCTGTATCCACTCTGCTCATTAGTGCATTTACCTGTTTGTCATCCCCCTATGAGGTGTGAGCTCCCCAAGGGCAAGACCAGCATCACAGCAAAGGTTGGGCACAGAGAGGTACCCACAAATATTTGTCTTTGGAACAATTTATGGTCCCAAAACTAACATTCGGACTCTGTCCTCACACAAAACTGGGTCTGGTCCTTTCCTGCTTCTTATGTGCTGTGTGACCTTGGGCAAATTCCTCAATTCTCTGAGCCTCACTTTTCCCACAGGGGAGACAATAGGGCTGGACATAAAGTGAGGATCAATAAACACATGTTGCTTCAGCCCCGATTCAATGAGGTTCAGGCACGTGTTAACAACCTCTTTTTATTACTGTCAATGTTCTGCCACCCACCTTAGGACAAAAAAGATGAGGCTGTGCCCATTTTCCTGATGAGGAAGTTGGACAAGAGAGGTAATGAAACTTGGTGTAGGTTACACAGCTTAACTGAGAGCTTGTAAACTGGTGGCCTTTGTGTTTTATATAATATGCTCCATTTTAAGAACTTGTTAAAAAAAAAATTAAGTTCCTCTGCTTGTTAAGTCTCCCCCTAGCCCTTTCCCCAGGATGCTGGGCCCTGGGAGGTGGCTGACCCAAGAGGCCATAGTCCCAGCCCCTTGCCCTCTACTTAAGCATTGGCAGGGAGACACTGGCAGGAGAGAGCAGGGCAAGAGGAGAAAGAGGTTTATGTATCTGGTCCCCTCCATCCTGCTCCCTCCTGGCAGTGGCTACAAACCTCTCTGACAGTTCCATCTCTCACCCCTTCGGGGTGGTGTAATCACAGCTCCCCACTGCCACTAGTCCCGGAGACTGCACCGTCCCGCTATCCTGCCACCACCACATGAACAAGCCCAGGCCAAAGAGGTGAAGAACCAAGGTGCCCACAGGAACAGAGCTCCCTACTGATCTGCAGCTGACCTCGGATGCATGAATAAACCCAGCAGAGACCGGAAGAACCACCCAGCTGAGCCCAGCCTACATTTCCAAATTGCAGAATTGAGAGCTAAGTAGATGGTTGCCACTTTAAGCCACTGGATTCTGTGGTGGTTTGTATGGTTGTGAAACTAAAGGATATGCCTCATTTAAAATCACCTTGCCCGGGGGCCTTCATGAACCTAACCCCCCACCCCCTGTCAGAGTGCACACCAAGCCTCCTCCCTCCCAGGCTTGGTGTCCCTCCCACCCAGCACCCATTCTCACTGGTGAGGATGACAATGCCTGTGATGAACAGCACAGCTGCAACCAACAGCCCACGTTTCCGGAGAGTGGTGTTGTCTGCAGAGAGAAAAGTGGAGGAGTGCTGTGAAAGGGTCTTCACCCTCCCTCCCCGCCGCCCCATCCTCCCTGGGTAACTTACCGTAGGAGAAGGGGTTGTCCTCACTAGAGCCTGCAGGGAACAGACAGGGAGCCAGGTGAAGTTCGGCAAAGGTTTGTGGAGTGAATCAGGAAATGACAGGGTCAGGAAGAGAGGACACTTATGTCCCAGTGTTGGTGCACTTAGGAAAAAACCCAAGTCCTCACGTGGCACACAATCTGGCTCCCGTCACCTCTCGAACTTCATCATCTCCCCTCATCATCTGCTCCAGCCCTGCCCATGACCTGCCAGGCCACCTCAGGGTCTTGGCACTGGCTGCTCCCTCTGCCCAGAGCACTTCCCCAGATAGCCTCATGGCTTTCCCTTCAACTCCTTCTCAGAGAGGCCTTCTTGCCCCTTACAGAAATACTCCCCAGTCACTCTCTCAGCCTAACCTTATTTTTCTTGATAGCAACTTTAAAACCGCATGCCATGTAATTAATATAGTTATTATTTATTGTCTCTCTCCCCCAACTAGAATGTCTGCTCCATGAGGGCAGAGACTTTAATTGTCTTGTTCACTGTTGTATCAGTAGCACCTAGGACAGTGCCTGACACATAGGTAGGTGCTCAATAAATACATTTTTAATGAATGAATGAATGAATGAATGAATGAATGAATGAATGTGAAGCATGGGCATATCATTTTCATCTGTTCATTGGGGCTGGCTGGTCAGGAAGTGGGAAATAGAAGCACAAGAGGAAGAATCATGGTGCCTCTAGAAACAAAGCTCTTTGCTGACTCCCAAAATGGTTTCAGATGCGTAAGTCCAGATGAGAGCAGAAGAACCACCCAGCTGAGCCCAGACTAAACTTCCAAATTGCAGGCTCAAGTTTAGTTCTCATGAATTAAACAGATGGTTGTCATTCTAAGTCACTGAGAGTTGAATGCATGCAGCATTCACTTCTGTATTCATTCATCTGTTTATTGCGTATCTATCTGGTGCCTACCCTCTGCCAGCCCTGAAGTTGTATATTCGCCCAACGTATGTTTACTGAGAACTGTTCTGTGCTGCACAGTATTCCAGGTCCTAGAAATACACAGTTGAGTAGGAAACAGCCAGTTTCCAATCCAGGAGTTACTGACCAGTGGGCATGCGGGCACAGTCTGTCGTGATGTCTTTGTCTGGAAACTGCTTGGAAGGTGTGGTGACTGCGGTGAGATCAGCCGAAACAGTGGCCAGAAGATGGTGGAGGGCAGGAAAGAGCCGTGGAGGGAAACAATGGGCATCAGTGAATGTCTGTATTTGCAAGAAACCCCTTTCCCATACCTACACATGTAGTGAGGAATAGGTGTCCCCCATTCCAACCCCCGAAGCCGTAAAGAATGGCAGGTAAAAATACACTGAAATTTGCTCTAACCTCCTGACCCCTCCCCTAGGACTTTGTGGGCAGCCCCAGAATCCAGGGAGTCAAGGATAATATCTGTCATAACCAGGATGGGTGCCTCTAGGACCCAGGCCCAGTCACAGAGCCTGGAGGCACTTGTTACAAAACATTTTGAATATCACCTCTGCTCTCAGGCTGAAAATACCAGAGGATCCCTCTCTTTAAAAAAAATCAATGTCGCTCAGCCAGGCAGGGCTCAGTGGTTGAGCATCGACCTAGGATCCAGGCGATCGGGGTTCGATTCCCGGTCAGGGCACATGCCCAGCTTGCGGGCTCGGTCCCCAGTCGAGGGTGAGCAGGAGGCAGCCGATCAGTGACTCTCTCATCATTGATGTTTCTATCTCTCTCTCTCCCTCTCCTTTCCTCTCTCTGAAATCAATAAAGATATATTAAATAAATAAATATAAATAAAATAAAAAATCAAAATAAAAAAATCAATGCCCCCTCCTCCGCCCCAAGACCTGCCCCTCTGGCACAGAGAAGCGTCCTCAGTGAAGTGGCTCCCACTGTCTGATGTCCCAATGTGAAGTCAGCAAGCAGAAAAGCTGCCTCGTGAACCCTGAGCTCCCTAGACCAGTCCCAGCCCCTCACCTCCAACACATGAACCATCGGCCAAGGATTCCGACATGTTCTGGAAAGCCTTGCCCAGAGGTGGGCAAGATCAACAGCAGGGACAGAGGCAGAGAGTACAGAAAATAAGAAGGACAGCCTGGGTGGCCTGTGGTGCTCAGGCACCCTGGCACTAAAAAGCCTGGGCTCAAATTCTAGTTCTGTCACTTAGGGCTGTGACCCAGGGCCAGCAGAGTAACCTCTCCGGGCCTTAGCTCCTTCCCTGTGAAATGGGGTTAAGACAGTTCTCACCACATAGGGTGGTTGTGAGCATTGAGTGAATACATGAAAGCTCAGCACAGTGTCCAGCACTGAGCAAATGTTGGCTGCTATCATCTGCTTGGCACTCACTCCTCCATCCTTTTGGGAACAGCTTCCCCTTTCTCAGGCTGGGGGGTGGGGGCTCCTCTGGCTTCCCTGGTCTATCTCCTTCCCCTGCCGGAACCCAGGCCACAAGGGGGAGCTTGTGACCCAGTCTCGCGTTTCCCTGAGACCTTGCAAATCCCCAGCAGGGACTGAGTGGAAGCTGGGGGAAGCTGGGCAGCTCCGAGCCGGCAGAAGACAGGAGCCGTTTCCTTGCAAGATGGGAAACAGGCAAGAGAAACAAAGGTAGAGGGACAGAGGCGCTGGGGCTTTTGCGCTCAGGCTACGGGCAACCCTGAGGCTCAGGGGAAGTTGTCGCAATAACCAGAGTATGGAACCACACATGGTAACTCGGGTCAGCAAGGACTCCGGGCGAGTGAATGCGGGATATGAAGATGTTTTCTCAATTGGCAGGTGCAGACAGAGTTGCTATACCCCCACCCCCACTAGGGGACGGTCCCTTGATTTCCGCCTGTCGTACAATTGTTTTAATACGGATTCTGTCAGAATGAGTTCTTTTACTGCCATCACTGAAAAACTGTAACAATTACAAAAAGTGTTATAGGGGATGGCATGGCCTTAGAGGTGGTGTTCTTGCCCAGTGCCCAGTCTGCATGCTGTGGATGTTTCTAGACTAGGAGTGGCCCAAGCTACAGTACTTTCCAGTAGGGGCTGCTCCTCAAATAGGGAGCATGACACAGGCATTAGAAGCCACCTTCATGTAGGCTCAGCCCCTTTTCCCACACCTCTGACAACATTAGCTACTCACTGGTCTTAAGGACAACTGCCTCTTCCCTGACCCCTGGTCTGTGCAATTCAGACAGGGCTGCCTCCTTCTCCAGCACCAGGGTGGGGGGCACAAGACTCAGGCGTGACCCATCAGAGCAGTCCTTTTCCCAGGTTCCCATTGGTCAGACATGGGCATGTCACCCCAGCTGGGCCAGTGAAAGTCAATTCTAGACCTTGGGCTGCAGATGAATGAGAAAGAGATGTCCTCCAGCTGCTGAGCTTGGGACGGAAAGTTAGAACTATGGGACCATCTTTGCCACCAAGAGGGGAAAAGCCACTTGAGAATGAAGACAACAGAAAGAAGGAGCAAGTCTGTCATGATGACTTGAGCTCCTTGATCCAGCCATACCTGAAACTGGTGCCTCTGGACTTCACAGAATGTATACAGCCAATAAGCTTTTATTTTTTTTAAGTTGGATTTTCTGTATTTTGCCATTGAAAAGTTCCTGCTCTAACATGGAGACATACACAGGGAAACACCCACAACCACATTTCCTGGCACCAGCCCTGTGAAGGAACCTGAACGAAAGAGGGTCCTGAGTCTATTAGGCTCGCAAAATGTTGCAAACTAGGTGCCCCTCTCAGGGACACTTGCTGCAAATAAAGTTTATTAAGACTGAAAAATCCTGCCAGAAAGAAACGTGTTTAACTTTATCTCGGAATTTCACAAACACCTTTGGCTGCAAACCAAAATAATTTTTTTTGGAAGATGTATTAACAATTCCCCAAACAGGTGCTCTGAGAAACGTCCTTGGGGAAATGCTGACCCAGATAGAGAATTAAACAAAACTTGTATGCTGCTGTTCTAGTGCTCGGCTCTACCTTCCCTGCTGCTCTCGACGGTCCCAGGATCTGTGGTTAGAAGCACAACCTCTCCCTTCCCTTGTTGCGTCTGGGTCTCCATCTCTGGCTGGGTGGCCGTTGCTTCTACTGAGGTCAGAAGAGCAAGGAGGGGAGGGGAAGAAACAGACGAGTAAATCGGCGACATGGATCCACAGAAGGGCAAGCCCCTCTCCCCCGGATCCGGCTGGCACAAATCAAGGATGTTCGTAAGGCAAGTGGCACTGTGGGAGTGGGACGGGGGGCCTGCGGACTGCTGGTGGCAGGGCAAATTGGTGCAGCCATTTCCAAATGGCTTTGAAAACAACTTTGAGTGTTCATGTCCTTGGCCTTATAGTGGTGTGGGCAAAAGCAGGGCTCTAGGGCCAGGTCCCTGGACCCTGATCCCAGCCGTGTCACTGGTATGCGGTGGCACCTTGGATGAGTTACTCTGAGTGTTCAGGTCCCTATCTGTAAGGTAGGGACAATGGTCATTTCTACCTCAGAGGGTTTGTGTGAGGACTGAATGAGTAAACAAGAGTAAAATATTTAGAACCAAACCATCATATAAGCGCTGTGCTTGATCAAGGAGGAAGGGACACTGTGGCACTGTGTGTAGCAAAAAGAACTGGAAGTGACCAAGGTGCACATCAAGATGTGCATGGAGCCCTGGCTGGGTGGCTCAGTTGGTTGGGAGTCGTTCTGTGCACCAAAAGGTCGCCAGTTCAATTCCCGGTCAGGGCTCGATTCCCAGTTGGGGGCATGCAGGAGGCAGCTGATCGATGCTTCTCTCTCACATCGATGTTTCTCTTTCTCTCTCCCTCTTCCTCTCTCTCTAAAAATCAATAAAAAATATATATATATATATATAAAGTGTGCCTAGATTCACTAACTGTGCACAGGCACCCTGCCTCACAGCAGCGAAAAAGAACCCGATGAGTGTCTATGTGGGAACATGGGAAGAACTTCCGAACATTATTTCATGGGGGAAAAAGCCAGTTGCCGAACAACAATCATGTAATATCCTTAAGCTCACACCAATATACCCCCCAGGCAGCATATTTTCTCCAGGTGACGCGCACTGATACAGTCTCAGCGGGGAGCTACCCCCAACCCAGAGCTAAGAGTGGGGGCCTCCCGGAGCTGGGGAGAGAACAGGGCTGGGCCATGAGAAAGGCATCTCGCCTTGCCTACCACGTTTGTATTACTTCCAAGCGGGGTGTGCTGATGTGCTACTGTGTCATTAAACATTAACGGGAAAAACTGAGGAGCACTTTTTGAATTATGTTAGACACCAAGGAAAAGTTAAAAAATGAGTTGAAAACTCACAAACGGAAAATGCTAGAGAGAGTAAAGGAGCTAGAGAGGTGAACGGGGCTGGCGCAGGGGGCAGCTTCCCGGGTCTCTGCAAAGCTCTGTTCCTTGACCCGGCGGTGGTTACACAGGGGTTCAATTCAGCATCATTTGCTGAGCTGTACATTTAGGTTTGTTGTACTTTTCTGCATGCATGTTATTGTTCATGACTCCAAAAGATTTTTTTAAAGAAGTGAAAGGAGTCGGCTGGCTGGCCCACCATAAATTTAACCAGGGGATGCAGAGCTGGGGGGATGAAATGGGTAACCAAAGACCCAGGGTGTCAGAGAAAGAGGGGAAACAGCGTCCGTGCGGGCCCACCTCCCCCATATGGCTGCCCCACTCACCGCGAGCCTGTGGGGTTGAAGCCTGAGGGGTGGAGTGGAGTTCTGGCTGAGCTGTGTCTGAAGTCCAGGAAGAGGGAGAGAAGAGAGAGAGATGTGGAGAAGGCCCACGAATGGAGGCACAGGGGTATTTCCATAGCAACTCAATTTTGATGTGATGGAAGTGACTTAAGTGACCCAGCCATTTCCTCACTGCCTAAATGCAATGCCAGGATCTCCCCTGCCTCAGGCCCTGCCCTCCCACAGATGCCCATTCCCCTTCTCAGCACCCACGGCCTCTGGTAAGAGCCCTGGAACTGCCTTTGGGGAACCATCCTTCCCCCAACTACTTAGTTCAGTAGGGCTGGCACCAGCCCTGTTGGAGGCTGAACATGACCCAGGTCTGGCTAATCAGCTTCCTGTGCCTGTGGCCACAATGATCAGCTCACAGGTAGGCATGTGACCCGAGCCTGGTCAATGACACACATTCTGAGACAGTTGCTGGATTGAGGAAGGGAAAATTCTCTTTCCTCTGGATTCTTAGTAGGTAGGATGGAAGCCCCAGGTATCTAAACTCCATCTTGGCCCTATAAGAGAAGAATCTGCCTGAGAATGAAGCCAACGCAGAGAAAACAGAACCAAGAGATGAAGACTGGTTCCTGATAGCATCATTTGAGAACCTAGATCAAGTCATGCCTGAAGGCCTATCCCTGGACTTTTCAGTTACACAAATTCAAAAATTCCTGTTTAGTCCAGCTTGAGATTTTTGTTGCCATTGTTATTTGCAGTGACAGGATCTTAACAGACCTGTCCCTCTTTCCTCACCTGAGGTTGAAATCAGGGTACGAATGTTCTCAGTGGTTGACTCTGCTGGAGAAATGGATGTTGCCTCTTCCGATCTCTGTCCTGAGAAATCAAGGATGAGAAGCCAGGGAGTAGGCTCCAGTCCCCTTGTCATCAACACCCTACTCTGCCCTCCCTTCAGAAACCTTGGGGGTAACTCAGGAGGTCCTCCTGCTGGAGAAACAGCAGATAGCTCTTTGATTGATCAGTTTTTGTGGTATCAATACATACTCCTCGAAGTTTTTAAGAAATGCTAATGCCCCAACACCCTTCCTCCAACCCCCCTCCCTCCCTGCCCATCCTTGTGGGATGGGAGAGATGGTTTAGCTGAGGCGCTAGAGTCAGCCAGAGCCCTGGTCTCAAATACTGTTCCTAACAGTTCCCTTGCTGTGTGACCCCAAGCAAGTCAAGACCCCACTCTGAGCCTCAGTTGCCTCAACTGCAAAGTGAGGATAACTGAATCTACTTCTCAGGCCTATAGAGAGGGTGAAATGAGATGGAGTGGGGAAGATACAGCCACTGCGTCACCCTGGTCCAGCCTCCATCCCCTCCCTCCCGGACACACAGCCATCTCCTCCTTGGTCTCCTGCTCCTGTCCCCACCCACAAAATCTGCTCCCCAAAACAGCAGAGGAGGGAGCCTGTGAACACCTGAAGCAGGTTATGGCCCTGCTG